CCCCGTGCAAATCTTTGCAAAATCACGCTACTGACGCATCCCCAACGCCAGAGAAGACTGTTCTAAAGCACCAGACGTGCCCATGCCACTTTTTTCTGGAATTCTGCTCATCCCACTTCTTCCATACTCTTGCCTCGATTTTATCCAATTCCTACGCTGTCATCACGTACATGTGTGACGTCGGTTCTCTATCGAGGTTTTAATCTGGCTGTGGCACAGAGGTGTCTGAGCTAATTCTGAAGGCAGCAAGCAATGTGAGTGGCTCTGTATGTCAGGACTCATACACACCATCAGCATCAGCGAGCTTTCCTCCATTAGCATCCCATGTAGTTATTTCACATGGGGTTTTTTTTCTTTTTGTTTTTCCATTTCTGCAGCCTGTTATCTCTGTGGGTTTTGTTATGCAGCTACTGTTCACCACAGCTGTTCCAGCTACGTAAGAGCCCACCCTACACTGGCCCGGCGAGCTGGAAAAGGGGCTGTTTCTTGACTATCAGTAACAGTAGTTGACAAAGCGTTCTGGAAAATAAAGCCAACTACTGGACCAAGGCACTGCTCGGCTTCAGAGGGAGACTGCTTTAGTCCAATGACCTGGAAAACGCGCTTTTTTTTCCTGCCGTCTCTGGGCTGCCAACGTTTCCCAGAACAAGATGCTGTGGGGAACCTGTGGACAGCACCCAAGCAGCACTTACCCTGGCATTGTAAGCATCCAGCTGTGCATCTAGTTCTTCTGCGGAGAGCTGCTGTTTGGAAGTTCTTCCAGCTCCTCTGCCTCTCCCTCTGTTCCCGCCACGAGTACCTCGCCTGTTGCCTCCTCCACCACCAAATCCTCCTGAACCACCGCGGTTTCTGGTCATGCCACCTCTGTTTACACTGTGATTTTTGAAAAGCAACTGGTTTAGTGCATTCCAGTTAACCCAAAGAGGCACACAGAAGTTTGCCAAACAGGAGACGGATCCACGCTTCCTACACAGAGAGGGGCCAGGCACGTTCCCGCCCCGCGCTGACCGGGCGCAGCGACTCCCGCGGCCGTGCGGCATCTCACCTCTGCGCTGGTCTCCTCTGTGTGTCGATCTGTGACGTGACCAGCTGAATGTTCATGGGGCGCCCTGGAGGAAGAGCAGCCCGTGAGCTTACGTGCGGGACACAGGTGCGCGGGCTGCTCCGGCCAGCCAGCAAAATATGCTACAGAGAGGACCGTGCAGACTCACCATCCAAGGGGACTCCGTTGTACTGCTTCATCGCTTTCAGAGCGTCTGCCTTCCTTTCGAAATGCACATCTGCTGTCCCTAGACTGCGGCCAGATCTGTCATAGTGCACAGCTGCCTTCTTCAAGGTTCCAAACTCTGCAAAGAGTTCCTGAGAAAGAGAAGGAGAAGAGAGCACACGTCCATCAGTGCTATGAACACGACACAGCCAAGAGACGGCGCCGGCAGTTCCCCACACACAACCGCTCTCTGCAATCGCAGGCGCTTTTCAAAACATCACTGCCAACTCGGAAAAAGCATCAATGGAAAAGGGGAGCACAAGCCCATCAGGAAGATTTCAGAAAGTTGCCACAGGTGGCAAAAACAAGCAGGACTTCATATTCCCCACTGGCAGGGTGCATGTTTACAGCCAGCGAAGCAGACTCAAAGGAAACTGCGGGTCTTTTTGTTGAAGCTGGGTCAATGGGGTGACTATTTAAAAATAATCCAGACCCTAATCCATTTCCTAGAGGAAGAATGATCTGTATGAGCGCAGGGATTCATGAGATGATCACAGTTTTATTGTGCTGGACTTCCCCCCCAAATCTTTACTAGACCGGGTGCAATTTGAAAACGCAGCCCATTAGGAATATACCCCAAAAACTGAGATTAGGAAGGTCCTCTACTGAAGTGTGTCATTTGCTGTCATGAAGGATGGAAACGAAGAGGCAGCAACAGAGCCACCAATTTTGTTTCACAGGTTTTGTTTCACATTTAGGAAGTCAACAAGGACACCTCACCTTACTGAGTTTCTGCTATACCCCGTGCCTCAAAAGCTCAACGTCTAGGCCAGAGCTGCCAGGTGCCCAAAGGGACAGGCCACCTTCTACAGCATCTGCTGCAAAGCCCGACTGCCACGCAGCTGCCTCTGTGAGTTACTGCCCAAGCATCTGAGGGAGCACCACGCATGTTCTTCCACTTCCTAAGCAAGCAGCACTGCAGGCAGAGCTGCAGGCCAGCTCCTCCCTTGTACTCATTCACCAGAGGTGAACGTTACACAGCACTCGATAGAAGCTTTCTGGAACAGAGCGCAAGACGGGTGAGGCAGTGCTCAGACACTTCTCCAGAGCCAGCTTCCCTTTGCACTGCAGAGAACCCGGGTTCCTCATGAGCAGCAGCGCACACTCAGGGTGTGACACTGCGCAGCTCCTCCGAGAGCAAAGCACGTTCAAGGCTCCTTCCAGCC